TGGGTGCGGGTGGACGGCGCCCAGCACCCCGCCGGGCTCTTCCCCCCGGCCTGGGAGCAGCAGCTCTGTGCGGATCAGCCCCAGACATCGCTCGTGAGGATGATTTCATTCTCTTCTAAAGCAGGTGACATCTTTTATTAACCAGACCAACTAAATGGTTGGGGAAAAGTCCTCTGCGAGCTTTTGGGCTTCTCCAGGCATTGGGAGATTGCTTTTATTTTTGTTTGTTTGGATAGTGTTTGTGCCCGAGGGCTTGCAAAGAACTTCCCCCCAACTGTTTAGTTGGTCTAATAAACTAGGCCACATCTACCCGAGGAACCTGGCCTGCCTGTGTCCTGAGACCAGCGGTTCCCAAACTCAGGAAGATTGCACACCGCCAACTTAAAATGATACCTCCTGAAGTGTCGCCAGCAACTTTTTTCAGTTCAGCCTTAAATATCACCAGCAAATTTTTGTCATATAGTCATTATAATCAATCTCTTAACATGTACCACTGACAGGTTGTTTGCATGCCACTGGTGGTACATGTACCTCAGATTGGAAACTGCTGCCTTAGATCAACAGGGCTACAACCAACAGCCTCTTCTGAAGTGAAGAGTTGGCTGTCTTCTGTTCTCTACTAAAATGACACATAAAAAGTCTGGTCAACTGAAACTATTCACCTAGTTCGAGTTAGGAAAAAAACAAACCCATGGGGCGGGAGGACATATCATTTCAATATATGTCAGATGTTCTAGGAACTGGATATACAGGAGATGGGAATCTTCCTGGAAGCTGGGGTCCCCACTAGTGCTGCTGATTTTGCCAGTGGGGTGGCGCTGCCCAGGGTGGGCACAGCTGGGATTGTTTTGCCAGGCTCTGGGTATTGGGGCGCAGCTGTACAGGCAAAGGAAGTGCCAGGCACATAGAACAACACAGGCTTTCCCAGACCCAGTGCGCAGCGGGGGTCACAGGTGGCCTTTTTTTGTTTGTTTTTTTCCTTAAAACTCCTTTGCCAGGTTTGCCCACCAGCCAGCTATCAGACTGATTTTATTATTTTGGGGGGGATGTGTCACCACCCTGGAGCTCTGTACAAAGCACAGGGGCAGTCACTAAAAGCAGACGTACAGACCCACATTCAGTAGCTGCAAATGAGGAGGGCTCAGTTTGAGATTTTTTTTCTGTTCTGTTTTTTCCCCCCACTGTTTTGGTTTGTTTCCTCCCTCTTTTTGCATCTGCCCTGGAAGGGAAGGGACAGAGGAATCTGCTGCTGCTGCTGCTGTTGGTGCTGCACTGATGAGTTTCGATTACTGCCTGGGCTGTGGGTTTCAGCTTCCCAGGCTCCAGGGTTTTCAGCAGCTGGCTTCTTTCCACGGCCCTGCTACTTTCAGTTTCATTTTCTTTTTCTGTTGCCTGTCTCAGTCATCTGCTGAGACTCAAAACTCTGTGCCTGCTGTTGTCTTTCTTGCCTGTGTCTGTTGATCACTCCTCTTCTCCCCAGCACAGGCACAGAGGTGTAGTCCGACCTGAGAAAGGACGGATCCACCCCTAACTGTAGTCTCACGAAAACTCTGAATGGGGCTCTGTATTAAATCTGCCCCATCATATTATCTCCTTTTTCTTCCCTGAATGTATTCCAACACGTACTGTGTGTGTACATAATACACACACACACACACGCACACGCCTGCCAATTGTCTGTCAAGAATGACGGGAGGGGCCTGGAATGTAGTACCACCACCTAATGCCCCATGCTCCCGCTGTTCTGCTGCTGTTCTGCACTGCTGGCCCCTGCTCCCCCACCCCCTTGCAGGGACCAGGATGAGGGAGCCTTGCCTCAGGTCTGCCACCCTTTGTCCGGTGCTCAGCGCAGCTTTGGAATCATGGCGGCACTCCCCCACACTTGGAGCACTCCGGCTGTTTCCGTCAGCCAATCAGAGCCAGAATAAAGCATTACAGACAAACAGATGTAGGCTTTTATAACATTAGAATAATACACACACACACACACACACACAGTCTTAGTTAAAAAAGCACAGACACAACAGTAAGCATTAAGCAAAGAAAGCTCATATATCAGTCGATAGATATTTCTGTCTATCTTTGCTTTCTTTGATTTGTTTGCTTTCATATGTATCTATATTTATATAGATATATGAGCTTTAAGCAAAGAAAGCTCTTTCTCTCTATATATATCTGTATGTGTGTATATATATATGTGGGGGTGTGTGTGCGTGAGCTTTCTTCACTTAATACTTGCTGTTGTATGCATGCACTTTTCTGAGTAAGGGCATATATGTTTATGCTTCACATGGCTTTGTATAGGATGATTTTGACATTCTTTATCTAATTACTCCTGCAGTTTGCTTAAAACAGGTATTTTTTTAAATGACATATAAAGGATACGTGAAGGATATTGCAAATGTCACCAACTTGAAATAATATCAGATGACAAGAGCATTTAACACTGTCATGCATATTAGGCCTGTGCAAAGCAGCTAGTATTTGCTTTGGATTCGGATTTGCACGATTTGGGGGACAGTGATTTGATTCGATGATTCGAATCACTGTCCCATTCTATTCAGCTGAGTCTGATTTGGAGATTCAGCTACCGCTGAATCAGCCAAATCTCCAAATCAAACAGGCCCCATCCCCCACCTGCTGTCCCAGCCACAGCAATGGATGCCCCACCCAGCCCCAGCATACCGGTACTTAAAAAAAAAGCCCTGCCAGGCGGAGGGGATGTGGGGGGGCAGGGGAACAATCCCTGCTGCTCCCCACTGCGCTGTGCTGCGTGGGGGGTTCTGCCATGAGCACCCAGAGGCCCTGATGGCCGCTGCAGCAGCCAGTGATTGCAGGGCTT